ACACACACACACACACACACACACACACACACACACACACACACACACACACACACACACACACACACGGTGCGTCCACCTTCCTGCAAGACACCCCCCCCTTGCACCCCCGTTCACACTCCCTTCATTCACGCTCGCTGCGCAACAGGAGGTGATCAAGTCCATCCCCATCCTGGACATTTCGTTCTCGGCGGTGCACCCGAAGGACAGCAAGTTGGTCATGTGGATCACAAACGACGCTCGCTTGGATCTCATGTACTGCCACGCCTTTCACGTCAAGAAGGCAAAGGTGCGCACCACCATGTGTGTGGCTGCGTGTGGCTGTGGGTGTGGCTGTGGGTGTGGTTGTGTGCATGTGTTGGTTCTTGCTGCATTGGCAATGCTATTCTCTCCCCGCTACCTTCCACACCACACCACCACCTTCACCACCTTCACCATCACCACCACCACCACGATGATGACAATGACAGGGGGAGGAAGTGCTGCAGACGATGGCGCTTGCGTTTACGAACGCGAAGCGGCGGCTGGAGGCGTCACAGGGCGACGAGGAGGCGCTCAGGGAGATGGGCATCACGTCAGGCAGGAAGACGCAGAGCAACGGTGCGATGGTGGTGGTTGTGGTTGTGGTGGTGGTGGTGGTGGTGGTACTGATGGTGTTGGCGGTGGTGGTGTCTGTGGTGGTGGTAGTTGTTTTTGGTTGTGATGGGAGTGTTTGCTCGTCCACATGGCACCTCTAACTTGTCAATATGGATATGTGCGTGTGCGTGTGCGTGTGCGTGTGCGTGCGTGCATGTGCAGCGCTGGGGGTGTTTGAGGCGAAGTTCATTGGTTCGGTGCCGGCAGCGGACGTGACGGGATCCGAGGTCGCAGAGCAAGCCGTTGTCGACGCAAAGGTGCCGAGAGTTGGCGGCGGTGGTGGTGGCGGTGGTGATGGTGGAGGAGAGCCTTGGTGTTCCTGCACCAGTGCACGCACAGCCAACTGCCTCTTCCTGTTTCTGCTTCTCATTCTCAATACCCCCCTGCACACACACACACACACACATACACACACATACACACACACACACACACACACGCCGCACACGCACACATACGCACACACATAAACACACACACACATAAACATACACACACATTGCCACGTCACTGCACGACACTTGGCGACTGCAACAGCAACTGAACCGCCACCCTGAGGGTGTGATCATGATCATCTCGTCTGAAGGCATCCGCACCATCGAAGGCCTCACAGGCGTACGTGTGCGCACATGTGTTGATTGCTGTGTGGAAGTGCTTGAATGCGTGCTTGCTCGTGTGAGGCCTCACAGGCGTAAGTGTGCGCACATGTGTTGATTGTTGTGCTCATCCTGGGGTAGAGCTTGAATGCGTGCGTCCTCGTGTGTGGCGTGTTGTGTGTGTGAAGCTATATTTGTATGGCTGCTTCAACAAACGCGCTCACATTTCTCCACACACACACACACACACATGTTCATCGCCGTGGGCAGGAGGTGGTGACGTCTGTGCTGATCACGGATGTGTCATTTGTGACGACATCTGGCGCCAAACGCGATGTGCTCGCGTTCATCAGCAAGGACACGCGCCTCAAGCGCATCACCTGCCATGTCTTTGAATGCCGCAGGGTGGGTTTATCTACTGCTGCTGGTGGGCATCAGCACAAGTGTGCACAAGCACACGGGCACATTCTCACACACCTTCACAACACGCACGTACACCCATGCACTTCAACATTATCGTGTTTTGCGCATGATCTCACACACCAAACCACTCACTCACCAACCAACCAACCAACCAACCAACAACCAAACTACGCGTCTCTCCACAACCAGGCGCAAGAGATATCGACGACAATCGGCAAAGCGTTTGCAAAAGCGAAAGAGGAGCAGGACCAGCGGGCCGGAAATCCGTTTGCCCCAACCAGCACCGAGCGCGAAGGTGTGACCAGGCGGCTGCAAACGCGTTGTGTGTGTGTTCGTGCGTGCGCGTGTGTTTGGCGCTGATACAATGGCTCTTTGAGCTGTGTTTCTGCCCTCTTTCCTCAACTCACTGCTCCGTCCACCACCACCATCACCACCACCACCACCACCACTGATTCCACCATCACACAGCCGTGCAGGGCCCGTTGTTCAAGTACCAGATCCATCGCAAGGACCTCGTGGCAGACAAGCCCATTGGCGCCGGCCAGTTCGGACAGGTACACACACGCGCACATTTGGTGGTGGTGGTGGTGGTGGTGGTGGTGGTGGTGGTGCACACGGCATTTGGAGCGCGTGTGCGCGCGTGAGTGTGGGCGCGTGTGTGCTCACACTTGTGAATTCAAGTATTGCTCTGATGGCGTCGCACTCACATCAGATCCTTTGTACCACATCCACACTCCTGCCACCGTTGTAGGTGTACCGTGCCAAGTACAAGCACCAGAAGGTTGCCGTCAAAACCGTGCGGCAGTCTGCCTCTGCCCAGGATAAGGGTGAGGCTCCATTGTTGAAGCCCCACGATGTTATGGCCCGGGTGGTGGTGGTGGTGGTGGTGGTGGTGGTGGGCTTTGTTTGGTGGTGTGGAACACCGAAAGCACTTGCGTCTGGTTCTTGCTCTTTGTTCTGTTGTCTTGTTTTCCTTTGACGGCTGTTGTGTCAGCGTATGGCGTTCTTGTCTCACGTTGATGCAACGTTGCTCCCCACGCACTCATCTACGCGCACGTGCCTTGCTTATCTCCCTATCCCTGATGCGCATGGCAGATGAGTTTATGGACGAGGCGGTTGTGATGGTTGAGCTGAGCAACCCCAATCTTGTGGGCATCCTCGGCGTCTCTCTCCAGCAGAAGCCCTGGCTCTGCGTCATCGAGTACATGGAGGTGTGCAATCGTGATGTGTGCCCCGTGATGCTGTGTTGTGCTGCACTGTGCTGCACTGTGCTGTGATGTGCTGCGTGCAAGTGATCGGGTGTAGGTTGGCACACGTGGTGTTGTGTCTTCGTGCGTGTGTGCGTGTGTGCGTGCGCTTTTCACGCAGGCCAGACATCCATTCATGAGTGGCCAGCCCGGACTTCACACACCCCCTGACTACGCACACACGCACGCACACACACACACACACATACACACACACACACACACACGCGCGCGCGCACACACACCGCTGCCACCGTCATCAGTACGGAGACCTGCGTGACGTGCTGCAGACGTGTGAGGAGAAGAAATTCCCTCTCCGCGAGAGTGAACAGATCCACTTTGCAAAGCAGATTGCAAGCGGCCTTGCTTTCATGGCCAGTCTTCGATACATCCACATGTACGGCACGAGCATGCGTTTGTTTTTTTTGGGGGGGGGGGTTGGTGGGGGGGGGGTTGGTGGCGGAGGAGGTGGTGGCGGTGACGAGGATGATGGTAACCGTAGTTGCTGCTGCTGCTGCTGCTGTTGCTGCTGTTGCTGCTGCTGCTGATGATGATGATGTTGATGATGTTGGTGATGATGAGCATAGCAACATAACGGTGAAGTGGAATGAAATGCATGCGCCTGTTGTGAGTCGGTGACGTTGCTACACGGTATTCACGTGTTACTCATGTGTGTGCGTATTCACTCGTGCAGGGACATTGCTGCGCGTAACTGCCTTCTCACGTACAACAACGTCGTCAAAGTGGCCGATTTCGGTCTCGTAAGTCACGACACGTGTGTGTGCGTGTGTGCGTGCGTGTGCGTGTGTGTGTGCGTGTGTGCGTGTGTGTGTGTGTGCATTTGTGACCTCCTTGTCTGGCCATGCCCCCTTCTTCTTTCTCGCGCCAACAGCCTCACTGGGTGCACAACTGTTTTCGATGCACCAGACCCGCAAACTTGACGAAGGCAAGGACACGTACACGCTGCGCAAATCTGCCAAGCTCCCCGTGCGCTGGATGGCAGTCGAAACCATGACCAAGAAGGTGAGTTCGTGCATGTGCATGTGTGAGAGTGTATCTGAATTGTGCGCGTGTGAATGAGTGTGTGCACGTGCGTGCCTGTGTTGGTGTGTTGAGTGTGGGGTCCCAGCTTCTAACGCGACATGAATGCTCTTGCACACCGCCTGTGCAGCTGTTCTCGGAGGCGAGCGACGTGTGGGCATTCGGCGTCCTGCTCTGGGAAATCCTCAGGTGTGCCGCAACATCACCACGCCATTACACCACGGCAACTGATGTATCATGATGGTTCATGGTGGCGATTTGTGATGAACACTTGCATTACTCAGTTTCCCTTTCGCACACACTGACACTCACACACAAACACAAACGAATACACGCACACACGCACACACACACGCACACACGCACACACACAAACACAAACACACACAAACACAAACACTAACAAACACATCTCGTGTTCTCGTCGTCTGTGTGCATCCACGTTGCAGCTATGGCGAGCTGCCATACAAGGAGATCAAGAACAAGGATGTCCAGAAGGCGATTGTGAAGGAAGGAACGCGCCTGCAGAAGCCAGCCAGCGCCCCTGATCCGCTCTTCCGTGTCGCCGAGACATGCTGGCGAACGGTACGCACCTGCGGATACCAGCACACAATATCAGAGGCCGTATGCGTGCTTGTGCCTTGGCTCCTGCGTCTCTGTGTATTGTGTGCTCTGTGTGTGTGTGTGGGGGGGGGCATTGTGTACCTGCGCGACTGCGTTCTGTGTGAGTACTTCGTATTCGTTGTTGTGTGTTTTATATTGTTGCACGCATGTTTGTCTTGAATTCGCACATGCTATCCTCACAACCCTCACAACCACCCACTCTCTCATTCTCTCCCCTTTCCTACTCCTACTGCTTCGCTTGCATTTCCCTCAGGACCGCTTGAAGCGCTATGCATTCGCAGAGCTGAAGCAGGTGAGCCTCCCCCCGCCCCAACGCGTGCTCGTGCTCGTTGCAGTTGCAGTGCCACCACTTTCATTGCCATCACTTTTGCAGTGTCTCTGCTATGCAGCGCCTACGTGCTGTCCGTGGCTTGCGCTGCACACCATGTGCCCGCCGCCCACTCCTTGATGTGTGCCGCTGTTGCCTCCCATATCTGCCGCATCTCACATGGGCCACATTGCACCTGTCCAACTCTGCAGCAACTTGAGACGCTGCATGGCGAAGCCGTTCGCAAGGACCCGGACGTGCGTGACATTGGCGCGTGCATCAGCTCCCTCTAGTAGTGAAGTGGACGCGTGCATGTGCACGCGCGTGCGCAGCTGCATTGGTTTGTGTTGCTTGATGTGTTGCCTTTCGTCTGCTGGCATTGTCCATACGCTGCTTGGTTTGCTTTTGTTCTTGCACTCTTGTTGCTTTCTTGTGTTGTGTGCTCTTTCTGTGTTTGAGTGCGTGTGAGCGAGTGAGTGCGAGTGCGTGTGCGTGCGTGCGTGTGTGTGTGTGTGTGTGTGTGTGTGTGTGTGTGTGTGTGTGTGTGTGTGTGTGTGTGTGTGTGTGTGTGTGTGTGTGTGTGTGTGTGTGTGAGTGTGTGTGTGTGTGTGTGAGTGTGTGTGCGCATTGACATGAATCAAAAACAAAAGCAAAGGAACAAACACAGCACTTCGTGCGTGCAAGAAATTTGGCGGAAAATGTGTACAAATAATCCGAGCTTGCTTCTGCCTTGCTCATGCCTTGTGCCAATCTCCACACAAACACGTGTGCACAGACATCGCTGCACTGAACACCACCCACAACTTCCTTTGTCTCCCACCGTTGTTTGGTCGACATGCTGAGCAAGGCATACCTGATCGCGTACAACGCGGTCGTGGCCGCAGGGTAAGCAACTGCAAGGGGGTGGAGGGGAGAGAGCATGGGCGTGGTGCCCACGCTGTGATGGTGGTGACCTGCGATTCAAATCACCGATGCAGCGTTGTGCGCGCGACAGTTTTTGTGCGGCAGCAGACAGGCCTTTGTCCTGCTTGTTGCGTCTGGTTGCTTCGACTGTGCTCTTCTCACTCTCTGCCTTGCGTCGTGGCCGTGATGGCAGATGGGCCTGGATCATGGTGATGACGCTGTCATCACTGCGCCTGCCCGCGTCCGAGAACGCAAAGTGCACCTTCTACAACACCGTGTGCTTTGACACGTCCAGTGGGCCCGCCATCTTCGATTTCCTCAAGGTAGGCGATGGTCCTGCTTTTGCTGCTGCTGCTGCTGCTGCTGCTTTTGGTGCTGCTGCTGCTGCTGCTGATGATGATGATGATCTCTGCCGTGCAATCGTGGTGTGGCAACGTTGCTGGTGCTGTCATCAACTGGTGCATGCGAATTCTTCCCTTGATCGCTGATTCGATCAAGTTGGTGTGTTCAACCACCACTGACTGTCTTGAATGGGTTTGCAGATCTTCCAGACGGCCGCCTGCCTTGAGGTAAGATCCGATTCACACTGCGCCATGATGTGCACCGTGTCGTGGTTGACGCGACTTGAAGGATCAGCTGTGATTGCTGTACCAGCAGCTAGTTGATGTACACCACATGCACGTTAACTCACGCGCATTACGCGCGCCCGGGTGTTTGCTTCCCATCTGCAGGTGTTGCATGTCATGCTTGGTCTCGTGAAAGGCACGCTCTTCACCACCTTCTTCCAAGTCTTCTCTCGCGAAGTCCTCACCTGGTTCGTCTGCTACGTCAGCCCTCGCGTAAGTCCCAGGTCTGCGGTTAGCATGCACATGCATATGCCTCCCTCCCCCCTCCCCTCTCTCTCTCTCTCTCTCTCTCTCTCTCTCTCTCACTCACTCTCTCTCTCACTCACTCACTCACTCACTCACTCAAACACTTACTCACACACACACACACACACTCACTCACTCAAACCTCTCCCCCTCCTCCCTTCTCCCTCTCTGTCATCGTGTGCATCGGGGCAGATTACCCAATCTGACGCCTTCTTCTTGATGATGGTTGCCTGGAGCGTGACGGAGGTGATCCGGTACAACCTGTACTGGATCAAGCTGGCCTTTGACAAGGTCCCATATCCGCTCATGTGGTGCCGCTACTCGTTCTTCATCGTCCTCTACCCACTCGGCGTCTACGTAAGTAGCACCCCAGTGGACGCTACGTGCCCCATTTAGTGGTGGTGGTGGTGGTGGTGGTGCATGTGGTGCTTGTGTTGCTTGTGTGCGTGTGTGTGTGTGTGTGTGTGATAGTGGGTCATCATGTACCTGCAAGTGCGTGTGTTCATGCTCGAACGTTTGCTCTCACCCACCTTGTGGCTCCTGCTCACGTCCCACCTCCATGTATATGCGCGCTTGACTGCTGTTCAGTCTGAGATTCTGTGCAACCTGCGTGCCATCTTCTTCTTCAATGAACTCCGCGAGGAAGGGAAGTTTCTCGACGACACCGAGGTATGCGGTGATGGCGAGATGATAGCGGGGTGATGGTGGCAATGGCACAATGAAGGTTGTCTTCATTGTTGTTGTGAGCATGATGCTTCTGTGTTATTGTTTTCGTGCTGTGTCAGAGGCAATGGCTTCGCTGTGCTGTTGGTGATGGCATGAAGACATACGCCGTAACCACCACTCACACACGCTTTCCTTCCCTCCGTACTGTGTTGTTTCGTGTTTGTACAGGAGAATGGCTACGTTGCCCGCCTTTCCCGCCAATACGGCGTCTGCGTTGCGCTTCTCATGGTCCTCTACCCAACAGGTGCAAGCTGCCACCTTCTTTCCATCGCACACCAAGAATGCACGGGGGAAGGTCACACACACGCACACACACGCACACACATACATACACACACCCATGCACGCGCACGCACGTACGCACGCACATATTCGCACGTGCACGCCCGCGATATTCGCACATATGAATTCACCGCCTCACCACCCGCCACCGACAATGTGTGTGCTTTGCCCAACAGTGTTCCCGCAGATGTACCTGTACATGTTCAAGCAGCGCAGCAAGTATCTCAACGCCCGCAAACCGCGTCCACAGCAGACAGAGGGCATCCAGTTCCCAGCAGATGACAAGGTCCCATGAGTTGTGTATGCGAATACGTGTTCGTCTGTTTGTTTGTTCGTGTGTGTGCCTGTGTACGTTTGCTTGCAAGCACGTTGCCTGGGTTGCTGTTCGTGTGTGTGTGTGTGTGTGTGTGTGTGCGTGCGTGTGTGTGTGTGTGTGTGTTCGTGTTCGTGTTCGTGTTCGTTTTCGTGCTGTACTCAGCATTTGCCGTTGCTGGCTGATATCATATTCACCACCACTGCCACTGCTGCTCGTCAATGCCACTGCCGTCACCATTCGAAGGTGGCGGTGATTGCGCCCGTGCATGTGCGCGCCTTTCTCCGCCCCGCTCACCATCGCTGTTATGACTGCTTCTCAATTCTCAACTGCACGACAGGGCAAGCGCAGCACGAGCGCATTCAACCAGGCCGCGTTTGCCGCCAGCGTCTTCAACCACGACCAGCAGGTTCAGAGAGCGCGTGTGTGTGTGCGTGTGCGTCTGTGATCCATTGCGAGTGTGCATGTGAGTGCGTTCCTGGTGTGTGTGTGCGTGCGTGTGTTGCTTTGACGTGAGCATGTCCACGTTTTGTTTGGATGCGTGTGTACTCGCGCACATGTCATTTGCATATGTGCGCGTGTGCGTGTGCGTGTGTGCAGGCTGCGATGGCTGTGATGAAGGAGAAGAACTGGCGGTTTGGATATGGCAAGCACGTCATCCGCAACGTCGCCCTCTCCTGCAAGGACAACGACACCTGCCTCAAGGTGCGCCAAACGCACGCTGTTTTATCCAGCCATGTGTGTCGTTGTTGCGGTTGCAATCCCACTTGCTTAATGATTTGTTGGACAGGTCAGTGTGCTGTCTCGTGTGGCAGCTGCCTTGTTTATGTTATCTCCTTCCTTCTTGCCACCTCACACACACACACACACACACACACACACACACACACACACACACACACACACACACACACACACACACACACACACACACACACAGACACTCACACAACCACAACCACACCGACACACACACACACACACACACAGACACAGACACTCACACTCGTGTCCAGACTACAAGGAGTGGGATTGCGTTCGGTAGGGCCAAACAGCTGCCAGAATGAAGATGCCAAACAGCAGCGTGAAGATCACGGATGTCACGCACAGCCTGGCGCATGGGGAGGTTTCCGGGAAGTGTGTCGCTGCATTCACACATGAATACGAATTGAAGTACGCGTTACCGTGGGTGCATGCATTTAAGTGAGCATGGGGAAGCGAGAAGAGTCACTCAGAAGCCTCGCACGGCAGTGCAGGTGGCAGTGCACATCTCATCCACAAGGCATACACAAAGGCGGTGCTCACGTTGTGAATCCACAGACGTATCCTCGAGGATGAGGACGTCTTCGCTCGAGTGGCTTCTGCACATCAAGAACAAGCAGGGAGGAGAAGGAAGGGAAACGAAAAGCGTGAGCCAACCCGCATTCTTGAACAACAAGCCAGCCGTCCACCACCCTCCACACACACACACACACACACACACACACACACACACACACACACACACACACACACACACACACAAGCACGTGCTGGTCGCTTTGCCACATCCAACCACCCCCTATCCACGAACCATCACACAACTGCAACCCGCACACAAACGCACTCCAAATCGTCCTCGATATCCATTGTTGCTGTTGGTTTGGAGCGGGTCGTGTATAATTATGTAAAACACCACTAAATTTTCCACAATCAAAAGGGCAAGAAGAAGAACAAGAAAAGGGCAAGCAAGCAAGCAAACGATGCAAACGTCAACGTTAAGCAAGCCTCTGTTGTGCTCTCTCTCTTTCTTTCTCTGTTTTGTCTGGTTGAATGCACGCATGCGTGTGCACTCACTGTATGCTGTGTATGTGCTGTGTGGTATGCGTCGGGGTGTGTTGTGTGCGTGTTTTGTGTGTGCTTTTGAATATGTGTGTGGTGGGGTGCGATTATGGGCTGCCCTGCCAGATAGCAGGCTCGTAACGGGTGGCGAGCAAGCTAGTGACCGCCATGAGGCGGTTGTGGTGGTGGCGGGCGGCGGTGTTGTTGATGCTGCTGCGGTGGCTGCTGCATCTTTGGGCGTTTCGCTGGGTGGGGCTGGCGGCCATGCGGGTGTTGCGGGTTGCCGTGTGGCGGGCCGTGCCTGTAGTGCTGTGGCAAGTGCTTGCTGCCCTTGCTGCCATGGTGAGCAGCACCAGCAGGGTGGCCGTGCCCATGTGCATGCCGCCCGCCGCCGCGATGCGCCTGCTGCGACTGCTGCTGCTGCTGATGAGGGCGAGGGTGGTGGCGTTGGTGCCGGCCACCACTGCTGCCGCGTTGGTGCTGCTGCGGGTGCTGCTGCTGCTGCCGTGGCTGTACATGCGCACGTGTGTGGCCGCTTGGTGGCCGGGGTGCGTGGTGGCCACTCGGGCGACGTGACATCAACGGCTGCCCACGCTGGCCCGATGCTGCTGCAGCTGGTGCTGGTGGTGCTGATGGTCGGCCATTCTGCTGCTGCGGTGGCGGTGGTGGGGGAGCACCTGGTGCAGAGGTATCACGCGGGCGGCGACGCGGCGGCGGCTTGCGGCGCTCAAGCATGGCCTTGGCGTCCTCGTGGCACTCGGGGCCAAGGTCGCGGATCCTGGGCAGTGGCAGACGGAAGAGGGGGGGGGGAGAAGGGGTGGTGGTCGGGGTTAACAACACGGGGGAACATGAATGAGCGAAGACAGCAAATGAGCAACGCACAAAGGCACACAAGGCACAAAAAAGGCACACACAGACGTACACAGACACACGACACACGCAGACACACAGACACACAGACACACACACACTCACACACTCACACGAGACACGTGGGGAGAGAAAGCTTACTGTGAAGGGAGGCAGGGCATGGGGTCCTCCCAGAAGAAGTGGTGGTCGAGGGCGGTGCCAGCTGTCGGGCGCTTGCTGGGATTCATCACCAGCAAATCATCCAGCAGCGCAAGCCCCGAGGCACACTTCTGCAGGAACCTGTGGTAGTCGGAATGTTGTGAGGGGGGGGGGGAGACGGGGTGAGAAGAAAGACGACAGTCGAGTGCAACTTGGACAAACACGAGCGCAAACAGAACACGCCATTCAACCACACACACACACAATTGGACCAAGAAGATATTTGAACAAGCGCGCCAGCAACGCCAGCAACGCCAACACACACACACACACTCACACACACATGCAGACAGACACAGACACGACACAGACAGACAGACAGACACAGACACGACACAGACAGACACACACACAGACACACACACACACACACACACACACACACACACACACACACACACACGTATACACGCGCGCGCGCAACTGCTACTCACTGTGAGCCGAGTCTCTCCTTGAGCCTGCGCGGGTAGCGCTTCTTGGGGACGATAAACGATGCGTGTGGCAGCTTGGTGTACTCGGGCCACGACTCCTCCCTCGGGGTGCCGCACGTCTCGCAGATGAGGAGAAACTGGTCAATCTCGTTGTCCTGCTCCGTGCGCGCATCAACAACGCCGCCCTGGAAGGTGGGGCGCCCCGTGAAGAGCTCGGCAATGATGCACGCGCCACTCCAGATGTCAATCGCCTGCGAGTAGCGCTTGTCGCCAAGCAGCACCTCCGGCGGCCGGTACCACCGCTGCACGCACACGACACGACACGACAAGGGCGGGGGTGGGGGTGGTTGTTGTTGGTGTTGGTGTTCGTGGTTGTAGTGTTGGTGGCGGTGATGGCAGAATGAGGGGAGGTGGATGAAAGTGGCAAGGAGAGCATGGGAAAGGAGAGCATGGGAAAGGAGAGCATGGGAGCACCACACTGCAAGAAACAGCAGTCACAGCATATTGAACACTGCAATGTTGAGAGGAGCCACGGCAATGAACAAACAGGCAAGGGCTTTGGCTTGATTCACAACGGTAAGAAGAGAGGGCAAAAGAAAAACAGGGAGGAAGGTGTGTGTATCCAAGCCATTGGTACTTGGTGTCACACATACCGTGCACACTGGCAGCGTGTATCTGTTGTTCTTGTCCATATACCGAGACAAGCCTTGTGTGGTAGTACAGGGGACGTGGTGCGGAGGGGGAATGGAATGGAATGGATGGGATGGGAATGCGCGTCAGCACACACGTGCAACCAGAGGAGGAGGCGGAGTGGTTCATTTGCGAAAGAAAGAGGGACCCAGCCAACACCACCAAATGCGACAACAACAACAACAGCACAGCGTGAAGCGAGTCACGGTGGTGGGGATGATGATGATGGCGGTGGGTGGATGGGTTGTGGGAGAGGAGGGAGGGGAGGGGATGGCAGGGTGGAGTTGTGTGTTGTGTGCACAACAGTGCAACACCCACGCTACAACCGCTCCAGCAGTGCCAACCACGTCAACCAACTGCGACCACGTGAGCCCATGCCAACAAGCCGTGCGTCAACCACGGGCCAGCCACCCACCAAAGTCGGCAATCTTGAGGATGCCCTTGCGGTTGAGAAGAACGTTTGCAACCTTGAGGTCGCGGTGCATCACTTTGTTCACATCCAAATAGTGCAGCCCTGAACACACACACACACACACACACACAAGCGTACACATACGCACGTATATGAGTGTGTGCGTGTGACATTGAGTGATGTGCTCAGGGAGCACGGGACAAAAAGCGATCAATGTCCGCCGTGACCATGTCGTCATCGCTACCATTGCCGCCAATGCCAACTTCCATCGCCACCCCCCCAAACCAAAACCAATTCTCGTCATTAACATGATGTGTGTGTGTGTGTGTGTGTGTGTGTGTGTGTGTGTGTGTGTGTGTGTGTGTAGTAACG